CCATATCAATCCTGTACTGGTGGTTGCTATAGCATAAAACTAAAACAAACACAAAAGCAAACAAAACACAGAAAACCTAAAGTCAGATGGGCAGCATGCACCTTACTTTCTCTTGTACCTTCTATCACTTTCTTCCTCCCTCATTTTCCCGTTCTTTCCAGTTCTGTTTTCCCATACTTTCTTATGGAGATAGCTTGGCACTTGTATGATTCTAACCCCCAAGCTATAGGCACTTGAGTTATTTTGAGCACATAAAGAACCTGCAATTTAGTTATTCTCTGTGTGGAGTAGACCTATTATTTTGTATGACCCATATGAGCTATTAACATAAATCCTAAGCCTGTACAAAGAAGAATGTGGCTCCTTTAAACCATTTCTCATTTCTTATGTGATTGAGTGTATTTATTGATGAAGGCTAAGAATGGAGAGTGCAGAGAAAGAAGTTTTCTTTGTGGCACGCTTTTCCCCTTTACAGTTTTGGTCACCATAGAAATGACCTTGCTGGGGAAGGGAAGGTATTTTCCCAGGCGTGTATCTCCAGGCATGTCTGGCATTCCCTAGCCTTCTCTCTACATTGGTCCTACACCTCACCCTTAGTTTGTGGAAGGAGGAGGCAAGGTGCAGAGGAGCAAGGGGGGGCATGTGGCTCTCCACTTTTGGACCTCCGCTGTGCATGGACTTACCCCTTTCTGTTTTTGTTTGTTTCGTTGTTTGTTAGTATGAGTCTTGTTTTCATTACATCATTCTCCTGTTCCCCACTCTATTGAACAGATGCTTAGAATTCAGTGTTGACTAAATTTGGCTTTAGAAGTTGTAGTTTCTCTGTCTGACTGTCTAGTAGCATCACTTCTACCTTGTATTTGATTATGTTATAGAATTGAGCTATGGCAGTTTTCTGGTCTGTGCTGGGCATTGGGGATATAAAAAATGAATACCATGTGGTCCTTTGTCTGAAAGGGCTTATAACCTAGTGGGGTGGAGGTGGGAAGACCTAGGAACAGGTAATTACAGAATAGGAGTGTGTGAGCACTGAGTAGGGAGCAATGGATATGTACTTGTAGGAGCTGATAAAAGTATCTCTGAAGATGGTGACATTTAAACTGGTTCTTGACTAATGAGCAAGGCTGTGCCAGTTGGTTACAAAAAATTTTGGAGCAAGAAAAGCAGCGTGTACTTTGTCATGAAAGAGCAGAGTGGGAGCAGGGTGGGAACATCCGTGTAGCCGGAGGACAGAGTTCATGTGGGGTGCGGTGGGAAATGAAGATGGAGGGAGCCAGCACCTCTCAGCCCACTGAAGTCCGTGAGGATGGATAAGAATTGGGTTTTTACAGAAGCCACCTCTGGAGCAGGGTGGGTGCTGGGCCAGAACGAAGAAGAGAGAAGTAGCGGAGAGACTGGCTGGGGGGCTGTTGTAACTGAATTGACCAAAGGCGATGAGAGTTTTCGACCAAATCGGTGACCTGGACTCTCTTGATCATCTTGCTTTTCTTGGGTTTCTTAAAAAAGTTCAGTCTAACTTATTTTGTACGCCCCTTGGTTTTTAAGATTTTATTTCATATTACGAGGTGCCAAACACAACACCAAGTCTCCGCGCGGTGTGTAACGGTCGTCCTTAGGTTTTCTGTGCAGCCCTCTCCTCCCGCCACAGCTCCGCTGTAGCGCTTCCACGCTCTGACGTCCCTCTTACAGCCTCACCGCACTCGCTAATTCTTATCTGCTAGATTATTAAGTTGCTGAAGGTAGTATTTGCGTCTGTCGTATTCACTGCGGCATGCCTAGCACCTAGCGCGACGCCTGACAAGTAGTAGGTGCTTAATAAATATTTACAGGGAGGTTGAAAGATGAATTGGAGTAGCTGGAGGCCAGACACCTTGCCGATGATCAGTAAGAGTGCACGTTAAAATAACAGCCACGGTTAAATCACGTAAAATAGCAGTATCATTTTTAGTTCTGCTGCCTGTTTAACAAGGTATGGACTCATGAATCTGGATAAGCTCGCTGAGGGGATGTGGCACACAGACCGTCAATCATGGCCCACCTGTTGTTTAGACCTTTATTTACTCAAAGCAATTACCAATTAACAGCTGTGTATTGCAGTGGATGTGGTGATTCGGAATTCTTTGTCAGGCACTTCTAACCAGTGTTCCACTTAAGGCTGAGGGAAAGAGCAATAACAATTTGAATAGAAAATTGCTCTGCAAAGAAATGTAGTTTATGGCCCCTGTAGACTTATGTAGTTTCTAGAGCGACGCACTTAAAAACGTTGCCTAAGTCTTACGTATCCTTTGGTTCAGTCCCTGGAAACGTTTTAATGGAGCTTCCTGGTTCCCAAGCAGTGGTTTCCGATCTTTTCAAGTATGAGGACTCCTTAAAAAAATTTTTTTTAATGTTGATTTATTTTTGAGAGACAGAACGTGAGCAAGGGAGGGGCAGAGAGAGAGGGAGACGCAGAATCTGAAGCAGGTTCCAGGCTCTGAGCTGTCAGCACAGAGCCCGATGTGGGGCTCAAACTCACAGCTGTGAGAT